CCCCCCCACCACACACCTCTCCACAACCACAGTTAAATCAGTGAATATCAGATAATCTCAGTTTACACTCGACTATTCTCGCCGTAGAGGAAGGTCATATGGGGACCCCACCCACTAGATTAAGAAACCCGTACAAGAGATTGTTGTTACGGTTGGGATTTAAGTTTTTCGCGGAAGGTATAAAAATAATTATTATAGTAATAATTTAAAATTTTTATACTTCTAACCTAAGTGTATAAAACTTCAATCTTTGCAGTAATGCACAGTATTAATGTTGGTCTTCCACTACTATTCCTTATTTGAAGACTGCTAAAAACCAAAAGAGTAGCTGCATGAGATGGTCACTAGAGTACCCACCACTCCACCTTCCTCTTCCCTAACTTAAACAACTTTTGGCTCAATATTCCTTCATCAAATTTCTTCATCTCTTCCCAACAATATTATTCTCTTGTAGCTTTTTCTTTTCGCGTCAAAATCTTGATCAGACAAGGACGATTTCAACTCTGTGTATCCCTTGATTCTAAAATTGTTAGGTGAAATGGAACAAGCAAGATGTTGGATGAGTGCAAAGAGAAAACATGACATAACATTATCAAATCATCCTTCTTTGTATGGCGATTCGTGGGAAGAGCAAGCTTTTGCTGAAGATGCAGCTGGAGCTCTTGGAGGTTGTATATGGCCACCAAGATTTTATACTTGTAGCTTTTGTAGAAGAGAATTCAGGTCAGCTCAAGCTCTAGGTGGTCATATGAATGTTCATAGAAGGGATAGAGCAAGAATGAAACAATCTCCTCCATCTAATATTCCAAGTGGTGATCATCAAAATCAAGTATTTATTCCTCCTCATCACAATAATAGCCATGTTCAATACCCTTCTCATCAAATTTGTACCTTTATGTACAACCCTAATTCTGACTCTGACCATGGAGTTCTAAGGTCACCTAATTCTGATCCCTTGCCAATTAGGGTTTCTTCTCAAAAGACCTTAGCAACTCATTCTTCCTTTTCATCAATTGTCCAAGAACAAAACAAGAACAAGTTGTCATCTCCTCCTTCATGGTCAAACTTGGTGGCTGACAAATACTCTTGTCTCTCAAATGTGAAAAATCATGAGGAGAAAAAGTTGAAATCTATAGATTTCAAGAAAGAAGAGAGGAATCTAGAAGTCATAGACCCTATCTCTAGGGCTAAACTAGACCATGTTGCAATTACTAATTGCAAAAGAAGAAGAGTTGATGAGGAAAATAATACCCCATTTGCAAATCTCTTCCCTAAAACAAGTTCAATGGAAAGGTGTCGTCCTCAATCAGAAGCACTTGAAAGGATCCCTAATGCCATAGAGGAATTGGATCTTGAGCTGAGGCTTTGAAAATTCTAAGGTGAAGTGAATTTGCGAAAATTGGTTTGCCTACAAAAATACAACTCCTATGATAATCACAACAACTTGTCAATCTCTTGTTCATTTCTTTCTGTATGTTTCACTCTCCTCCTTTCTTTCTTTCACTTTTTTCTGATTTTAAGCTAAACTTGCAGAGTGTAAGAATGACTTAAGGATATTATGAAAGGCTTCAAATATTTCTCTAAACATGAGAAAGGTCTTTTGTCAAACACTATATGTGTGTAACTTATATAAATTTTGAGTTTATGGATCATATACTATTTGCATAAGTATCTCCAAGAAATTAAGACAACATGACAGATGAATTCTAGGGAATAATTGTCGAGTTCTCAGACCATGATACAAGTTTACAAACAGAATGACTATTTACTAGAAAGGTATATTTAGGGTTGCCTTTGAGAATCTACTTTTTTCAAGTTTTTTGTTTTCTCTTTAAGAGTTTCTTAAACGCAATAAGTGTGGATTAGCTTCTAATATGCTGAGAATCAACAACTACACTGATGTTTGAGTTTAAGAAAGCATAATTAAGAAAGATCTTCTAATTTCGAAGAACAAAACCTTTTTCTTCAGTATCAAGTCTTGCTGAAGAAAGTTGAAGGTTTTGAAGGTGGCAAAAGGATCAAGAAGGTTTCTGTTCTTCTTCTTAGGGTGTGTTTGCTATGGTGGAAGTTGTTTTCTGAAAAATATTTCTCTTAAAATGGCTTATTCTCTGGAAAATATTTTTCGGTGTTATGTAGGATAGTGAAATTTTTTTTCTAGAAAAAGCATTTATTAAGGATTGGTAACAATATCAACAAACTGAATAGTGTTTTAATGAAATATTTGAGTACTTAAGATTGATAATATTGAAGGGAAGCATTGAAGCAACGGTAAAGTTGTCTCCATGTAACCTATAGGTCACGGGTTCAAGCCATGAAAAGCAGTCACTAACGCTTGTATTAGGGTAGGCTGTCTATAACACACCCCTAAGGTACGGCCCTTCCTAAAACCCTGGGTAATTATGAGTGCTTCTTACACTGGACTGCCCTTTTTAAGATTGATAAATAATGTCTAATGGTTAAACCCGTAATATAAAGTTAAGAGTTGATATAATCGTGAAGGAAAACGATTCCTGCCCACAAGTGATAGAAGTCATATTTCCATTTGATGGAAAATGTTTTAACTGCAAAATATTTTCTGACAGCTAAACACCAGAAAATGACTTATTGTGAATAATGTTCTCCATCATATCAAACACACCCTTAGCTGAGTGTGTGGAGTCGAGAGGGGTGATCCTTAATACAATGGTTCAAGATATTTGGCTGATCAACCTATGTGGGGTATAAGGGGTGAAGAAACTGACTGAAAACTGCATGGAATGCAGTAAACTCTTTTTCCCATTCAATACCTCACTGACATTCTGTCAGTACAATATAAAACTAACTCATAAAACTAGCAGACAGTATAGCTTTTTAGGTTTTTTTTTAAATAAGGGTACATATAAGTCAGATACAATACAACATGGATTCCCTTTTCCTTGTATTATTATCATCACATACCAGAGATCTATTTCAGAACTTTTTACAGTTAAGATTAGTGTCTCTCAGCATAATAAAGCCATATACTTGTGTTCTCTTCTTCTACTTTTTCCTCTGTATTTCTCAATCCTTCCAAAATTGCCACCAACTACAAGGAATCAATCCATTTAAGTATCATATATATATATATATATATATATATATACTTTTTTTTAATCGCCAAAAAGAATATTATCATATCATGACTCTGATCTTAGTCTTTAACTAAGCCCCTTTTTGTTTGTTGCTTTGAGTGTATAATTATTATAGCTAGGTTTCTTCACCTACTCTACATGTAATTAAGGATAAGGAATGAATGAAGTAAATGTATACAATGAAGGATGAGAATTTAAGAAATTCAATGTGCCTCTCTCTACACCCTATCCCTAGACCTAGTATTCGAGCTTCTATCTTTTAATTAATATACTCCATGTATACATCAATTGTAATCTTGTTTCTTACCATTAATGATTTTTCTTCTTTTTTCTCTGTTCTTCTTCTGCATGCTTTTAATGTTGGGAGGTATATGTCATGGAGTGATTGCCAAAGGGGGAAAGGAAATAATGTGTTGAGAGAAGGGCATATTTCAAAATGGAAAGAAAATAGTGGCATTGGTTTTAAAAAAAGTTCTAGATATATGTGTGCATATCCAAATTCAGAATTTATAATACTTGATGTGTTCAATCTGTGAGGTTACGTATTAGCACTAAACTCATACTTTTCAACTTATGAATTCAAACTTAAATATTTTTTCGAATTTAGTAGATTCTTACCCACATAGATTCTTACGCTCTAGCTCTGTCACTATATATATATATATATATATATATATATATATATATATATATGTAGTGACAGAGCTAGAGCGTAAGAACCTAGTTTGGTAGAACCCATAAGTTTTAATTCAAACCTTATATTTGTCTTAAGAAATTTATTTAATATGTATAAATTATTAGTTTAAAATTCGAAAACTCAAAAGAATTAAAATTTAGAATCAATATGCTTTAAATCGTGGCTTCGCTTCTGATTTAATGTCCAAAGTACCGAGTTAAATTGAATCGGTTGGATATTGACTTCCCCTCTAGATATGTGTAGGGTGGCATTAATAAGGTAATTGGCTAGGGTTTGTCTTGATTAGGGTTATTGAGTTGGACATGCCTGGAGAAATGCAGAGGAGAATTAAGTTTTTAAGAAAGGGGTGAGGGACAGAAGAGCACATGGGATAGCAGTCGCATATATAGAATTTAGTGAAGAGAATGGAGAGTTATTCTAGCTGTGTTTTCTCATTTTAGAGAATTTTGTAATTCCAAGATATACGTGTAAGTATGATCTATTACAGTAAGAAAATAATTAATACTAGTCTGTATCTTGAAGTTGTTTATAGTTTTTCCTTTGAAAGGTACACGTATATTTGCATGGAAACAAGGTTCTTACTTCACGAGATTGATATAGCTCTAATTTATTGGCTGAATAGACTATCTATCCTTTAAAGAAAAGGTTTCTTTGATCAGTAGAATAATTTGGGAATCTGTCTGACATTGGTTCTATTTAATCTAATACACGCGTCATTTCCATCATTTGGTTTGGTCTTTGGGGGAGGGAGAGGGGGAGGGGGGTTGAGGGGTTATTTATATAGTGTTTACCGGTAAAACTGGTTCATAGTACACCCCGGTCTTCGGTAGGATAAATCGAGCTCGAGACACGATGAAGAAGGACCGGAATCGAGGCAAGGGTCTCATCGAGTCAGAGTCCAGGGGCATGATGCCCGCCCTCGAGAATATCGGGGTCATGATTCGGGATCGGTCCAAACCTCGAAAGGCTTCGAAGAACGTTGTCAGGCAATCAAGCTCGACAAATAGAAGGCCGTAATATCCGCGACCAGCCAGACATCACTGCGCGGATCTCGGCACGTATTGATGAAGAAACGACAATCAGTTAAACAAAAGTTTTTTTTACCTTTTACTGAATTGTGTTAGTATACTGTATTTGTAAACTAATTCTGGAAAAAATAGAATAACATATAAACAGAAAATGTAAATGAAACAAAAGTTAATCTAAGCCCACTGAATTCACAGTGTTTCCTTAAGGAATTTAATCCCCTCCTAGTACCCATGGTTATGGATTATTTTCTCCCAGGATAGAACGAATTACACACTCGTGTAGCAGTACTTCAAACCCCAGTGTTTCAGCGAACACAAAGTTCGGTAGTGAATCACACTTTAGGGGTGGACATCGGTCGGTTCGGTTCGATTTTGAAAAGTATCGGTTTTGCCTATCGGTTAGCGGTTTACAAATATCATAACCCGATAACCAAACCGATAAGATATTGGTTATCGATTTATCGGTTATTGATATTATCGGTTCGGTTATCGGTTTACCCGATAAGGTAAAACTAAAATTAAAAGTGCTGAACGCTGAATATTAGAAGTGTTGAACGCTGAAAACTAAAAGTGCTTTGAAAATTAAAAGCACCTTCACGTGAGTAAATTAGAGACAGAACTACGATGCTAATGTGTTTCTTACTGTCATTATAAATTAGAGACAGAAAAATCAATTTACAGAACTTTTCCATATCATACTGATGAACTTAATTCGCTAAACAACAGAGGACGTTTATTCTAGAGAGGCCATTAGGCTTCCCAATATTGTAGACTGGAAATGCTGCTACAGAAAGCACAAATACTGAGATAATATATTGTAGAAAGTTCCTTAAGTTCTGCAATGCAAAATCAATGAAAATAATAGGCACTAAATCAATAGCGCAGCTACTGCTTTCAACTGAAGAGAGAAACTTCAGACCAAATCCAGCTACTAGCCTGTTATTACGACACACGCACTGCTATAACGACACAGCTGCTATAACAACTACAACACCCATAATCCAAAAAAGAAAGAGCAACACCCATAACAATTTTAAAGCTGCTATATATGACACAGCTGAGTACAACTACAGCTGACAATATTAATAACAATTCGAAGTAGTAGCAACCTTAAGATTAACAAGTTCAAAGTCCAAACATAATACTAATATTTTAAATTCAAGTAAACAACACAACAACTACTCAATCCTTATAGGCTTCACCAAATTGCGCTCCAAACAACGCTCAACATGCCTCATTAAGGACCTAGTACCAGTTTGTTGTTCATTGTAACATAAAACAAGATGACAATGACTACATCTTACTTTCCACCATCCATCATCACCTTCTTCAATCCTTTCATAGTGACTCCAAACATGTGAGATAGCTTTGAGACCACAAAGTCGAGGCATGGTTACACCTATTAAACATAAAAAGAAAATATATTAAGTCAAGTAATATTTGTAATCATACAATGTGTTATATAAGTTGAATAATTAACTTACCAAAGTTTTAACTTACAACTATCTAAGATTCTACACATCATCATCGCAGGGTTCGTTTCCAAGATTGGCAAAATCTATGAGAATATAACTACAGATTTAGCTTAAAATCTTAAAATGAAACAATATCTACTGACTCTTGCTAATTAATATACAGAAATTTGAAATTTTCAGCCATGTTTCTACAGAAATGAAACAGTATCTGCTGATTAATCTACAGAAATTTGATATTTTCAGCCATGTTTCTGTGCAGTATCTACTGACTCTTGCTACTCATCTAACCAGAAATTTCACATGAGTAGAGAACTAAGAAGACACCAAACAGAACAATTAGAAGC